AGGTTTTGTTGAGTTGCAACTTTGCAGGAACCTCTTCCTGATGCTGGTAAAGGCCCATCCAGGCTCCAAGCAGCTGCATGTGAAGCAGCTGAAGATGCTCCGGTGCTGGTGGAGGACCGGCTTTTTCGTTGTCAATAGACTTTTCCAGCTCCACAGTGGTGAGAGAGACCTTTTGCTTCTGGTGAGTAGGCGAACGGCTGATTATTCAATCCTTCCCAGCATGTTCTTTTCAGGAGGGAGGAATTGTCGATACCTGGGTCATCAACGACAAGCCAGCTGCCCTCTTCTCGGTTGAAAGTTGGCTTTAAACTATTTTAGACTCATCAGCAGCTTGCTTTACTCTTTGAGACTCATCCGTCAGCAGCTTGCGTGTTGGGGGGTGCTCGATCTCGGACATGTCGGTGCCAGATGGTCGGGTCTTGAATCCTTCCGAATCCTCATTCTCGGGTTGGATTGAAGGAGATTAATATGGCTGATTGTACTGGATGGTCACTGCTGGATCTTCCAACTATAAATCGAGTTCGATCTGGATTTTCTGGAGGCTTTGAATTTTACCGTAATGAATTTTGTATACTGAAGGATGCCCTGCCTAATGCGAATTAAACTTAAACTTTTGTTTTTTCATCTATAGGTCCAGCTTTGAGGACTCTGATGGCTCGAAGGCTTGGCACACATGAATCTGAATGATGCAATTTCAGATCTAATCACATCTAACCGGCCTTTGGTCATTCACTGAGCATATTTTACATATTTTACACACACACAGTAAACAATATATATATATATATGTTGAACACACATATTGTATTTATAATCTATAAAGTATGTTATAATTTGGATATATTACATTGTAAATTGTATACATAAATCGATATATATATATGATTATAATACTTAGCTATTATACATGGCCTTTTGGGTAGCCTTGTAGACTCCGACACCGGTGCTGACGGGGGGCTATGATTGATGCCCATAGACACCGTAGAAGTTGAAAGAGACTCACCGATACGCCTCTTTTGTGGAGGGAGAATGTAGAAGTTACGCACACAATCTTCCACTTCGTGATAAGAGGACCGGAATCGATCTTTTTTGAGAGAACACTTGCAAAAACCAACTGGCCTGGCCGTGTGGTGTGCGCCATGGCCATGGCTCTTGTGGCTCTTGCGGCCTTGCTGCCGTGGCCTGGCCTTGCGGCTCAACCCGTGGAGCAGATGGTGAGCCGCTGGAGGAAAGCACCGCAACATGTGCCCAGCACACATGTGCCAGATGGCCCACTCCTAGGTGCGGCACTTGAACGAATGTGGTGGGGCTAGGCGATGAGGGGTGGCTAGGAAAGAAGATGACAGATGTAGCTGCGTTCAACTCCGCACCCCAAGTGCATAGGATGTGACGTTGTTTTAGTATTCGTCAAGGTTGACTCTTTTTGGGTGTCGAAAGGATGTGGAGTTTTCAAACAGCATACCATGCGGTGTAATGAGAGCTTCTTGCAACTGCCACTCTCCTTGAGTATGTGGCTGTTGGGTCTTTCCAAGACCGGTCAGGCTCCAGGTGGACGACCGTCGGGCGGTGGCTCGGTTTCGATCCCTGCAGCGGGTGTCTCAGGCAATGGCCAGATGGGCATCACCGTCGGGTTCTCCGAGTGGGATGTGCTCGATGCGAAGGTGGCCTTCCACGTGGGGCACAATGCGTTCTTTGCAGCGCCCACGGGGAATTGGAAGATCTCCTCCTGTGGCTACACCGATTTGACTCGAGCTGGGCGGAAGGCCTTGGGAGGCACTGCCGTGGGGGGTAGATTTTGGGGCACCACTGCGGGTTGGGATGGGCCATTGAAACGCTCTCGAAAGGAGCAAACTTTCAAGAAAAACTATCCAACTTGCCTACCATGTACTGTCCTGTAACAAGAAATTGTGATTCCTGGCCGCATCACAGCCGTTTCCATGCATTTCCTGCAGCGCACTCCGACATGGAACACCTCCCAGGAAACTAGCCGAGCAACGCGGGGATTGCTCAAGTACCCCATGTACGGACCCTCAGAATTGATTCACTCAAGTCCCAACAAGTTGAGGTGGCAATCGACCAAAAAAAAATATTAGAATATATATGAATATATAATATACAGTTAATAGGGATCTCGATCTGCAATGGTTTGGGGCTTTGTGCCATGAGAAAAGCTGATTTATTTTATCCATCATTCTGCATCAACTTCCAATCATCCGTCACCAGGCCTCAGTGTGAGCTTTCCAGCTTCAGCTTCGACCAAGCCCGCGGGGAGCGCGGAGCTCTTTCCGGCCAATGGCAGCTTCGTGTGGTCGAAGGGCGGGGCCGGTATCCATGCGTGGGTGCATGCTGCAGAGGACGCAGATGTCCGAAGTGGGTTCGGGCATGGGGAATCTTCATGCGTTCTCTCAAAGCATAATATAGGAACCACCATGGCTCGTCGGGGCAACGGTGCCAAGTCGTCTAATCTACCTGATGTCCCCGGTATCGTCCACGAGCTTGCGTCTTCACGTGCACGGACCGATCTCATATGTTCTCACACACACTTTGGAATGTGAATCAAAGCAGTCCAAGGGGTGGCACGGCGCGACGCGGGACGCACTTCGTCCGGTACCGTCCGACCGTCCCACCGTTCCACCCCGTGTCGTCCAGGACGTTCTGATCTTGAACTTGACCAGCTCAGTCCCTGGCCGAGCGAAGCTGGTCCTATGGACCTACAATGGTTGCAGTGGTCCGCCCAACCCCACCGCAGCCAGGAACACCACCGATGCCTTGCCCACCCAAGCACAACAGATTGGTTCGACTTTACACGTGGCAAGAGCCAATGGGTGGGAGTACCAACTGCAAGCCTATGAGGACGCTTTGTTGCGTTAGTTTACCGTAGCACATGTCAGCACCAGCTTTATCAGTTTGATCAAATTTTAGGGTTGGCAAACCCCTGAGCACCTTGAAGAGCAGCTGGGCCCTACCCCCACCCCAAGTTGTTGAGGTCGTCGAACTACTCAGCAGTATGTTTGGGATGTCCCGGCACCATTTTAGCCCCCCAAAAGCAGCCCAAACTTGCTCGTGCTTCTACAATCTCTGAACTGATCCTAGTGGATGGCACTGGCACCACCTTGTTCATCCGACCCCATGCCATTTACGTCACCATGCCTGGAGTCACCGCAGGTCCAGTGGTTCCACCTGCTGACGGCCGGAGAAGCAGGTGCCCGGTTGGTGAATTTCAGCTTCACCTCGCAGTGCGGAGCGGTGGAGGGGCCCTGCATGACGGCCGAAGTGGAGGTTTCGCCCCATGCGACGATGCTGACCTTGGAGTTGCAGAAGAGTTCTTGGAAGAAGCCCATGCCGGAGCCCAGGTCTGGCATGCGAAAAGAGGAGGTCGGTTGGCAGTTGGCAAAGTCATGTGACCCCCAAAAATACCAATCTATATATACGCCACTGATCTCCAAGTCAAATGACCTGAGCATCTCAGGACAAAAAGCAACCATTTGTTTCGAAATGTTCCCCCAAACCGGTCCTCAACAAAAGCACACACTCTGACATTGGTTTTCAGTTAGCTCAGTTCCCAAGTCGAGAAGGAAGGTGAAGAACCGCAAGGTGAAAGGGTCAGCGAAAACGTTTAACCAGAGTTTCACAGCAAGCGCAAGTGGAAGCGGCTGCACAGCGGCGGGAAAACCTGTTTGAGGGTGGTAGCATGAAGAACCATGAAACAAAACGTGGAAAAGTAGGGTGACAGCTTGCGAAAACCTCAGCAGGTACACAATGCGGCGTCCCGCATTGCTTCACGACCGATCTATCACTGTCTTCGTTGGGCAGTGAGTGATAGTGGTCCACTGCCCCCCTGCTGATTCCGAGGTGAAGAGCCCTTAGGGACAGGGTTTGACACACACACACACACGGTGCCGCTTTGCGGCGCTCGTGCGAACGACCTGAATAGGTACCTAAAAAGCCTTAGAAACAAAAGAAAGAAACACAGAAAGAGTAGCGCTAAGAGGGCAAGAGAGAAAGGTAGGAGTAGAAAAAAGTGAATACTTAGCCCTTGACTGGGGTAGGGAAACGAGCCTCAAGAGCAACCTAAAAAGCCTGAGAGAAAGCCCAAGAAACGACCAAAAGCGGAAGAAGGAAAAGTGGGGGGCAGGGAGGTGTATGTACATGTGTGTGTCCGTGTGTGTGTGTATGAATACTTAGCACTCTAGAATTACTGATTACTTAGCGGAAGTGAATTAAATGCAATAGTTAGGGAGCGGGACTTTAGTCTTAGACCGCCCGGGTAGAGAAGACTAGAAAAGGGACAACAGAGAAGGCACCGACACACAAGTGTGCCGAGTACCATTTCCCTCTCTTACCCTAATTAGCGGGTGGGAGGGGTTGGGGTGTTTGGGGTAGAAACCGCGTTTGGGTTCATTCTCCGCGCAAGCCCGGCGGCTATTGGAGCAGTTAATCCAGTGGTGAAAAAAAGTCAGTTAAGAAAATCCACGGAAAGAAGGGACCGAAAAGTCTGCTACATGATTTCCAGCATGGCTTCAGCGCCCCTGTGACGGGGATCACACCCAGCACCCAAGTGGGACGGCTGAGCGGTTCACACTCTGACATTGGTTTTCAGTTAGCTCAGTTCCCAAGTCGAGAAGGAAGGTGAAGAACCGCAAGGTGAAAGGGTCCGAAAACAGTATTGTTTAACCAGAGTTTCACAGCAAGCGCAAGTGGAAGCGGCTGCACAGCGGCGGGAAAACCTGTTTGGGGGTGGTAGCATGAAGAACCATGAATCAAAACGTGGAAAAGTAGGATGACAGCTTGCGAAAACCTCAGCAGGTACACAATGCGGCGTCCCGCATTGCTTCACGACCGATCTATCACTGTCTTCGTTGGGCAGTGAGTGATAGTGGTCCACTGCCCCCCTGCTGATTCCTAGGTGAAGAGCCCTTAGGGACAGGGTTTGACGCACACTTATGGATATGCGTGCTGACTGACAGCGGTGCCACACGCCGGCCTAGGGTACCATTTCCTAAGAGTACACGTACGAATCACTGGATCCTGGAGGTCTAAACAGAAAGGTGGCCAAAAGCTCAAGACGAGGTCGGTCCGACAGGTTGACGGCGTTCCGTGCGTGACTGCAGCTACATGAGGTACCATGTCTTTGAGGTTCTGGGCTTAGCCTCATGCCATTCGAAAAGAATCGCAGGTACGTCGGAGTGGCCAACTCCGATATCACCAGATCAAATGGGCATCTTCGTTGGTAGCGGTCCCAAATGATCTGCCGCTACCCCCTGCTGAAAAAGAAAACATAACAATTACGGAATCCTTGTGATTAAAAGGGCACACACACACACACACGCCTCCCCGAGGGGAGGCGAATTGAAGGTGCGGACAAAGTAGTAGTAAGGCCAAGAACCTCTAGTAGCGTCAAAGTAGGAACCTAGCACCTAGCAGGAAGGCCAGGAGCCCCTAGTAGCAACCCAAGCTAAGGTCCCGACAGGAGGGAGGGGTAGGGAGAGACGAGAAAAAGGAAAAAGAAGAAAGGAAGGTGTTCCCAGCTACGACGCGCGCGTCCAAGGACACGCCAAAGGAAGAGAGGAGAAGGGTTCCCAGCTATGACAAAAGCATCCAGGGACACCCAAGGAGGAAGGAAGGGGAAGAGAGGAAAGAAAGAAAGAAAGAAAGAAAGAAAGAAAGAAAGAAAGAAAGAAAGAAAGAAAGAAAGAGAGAGAGGGAGAGAAAGGGAGAGGAGAGAAAGGAAAAAGGCAGGTGTTCCCAGCTACGAACAATCGTCCAGGGACACACCAAAGAAGGAAAGGGGTGATCCTGAGTATTCCATTCAGGAAAACACAAAAAAAGCAAAGAAAGAAAGGGGGAGGGAAGGGGAAGGGGGGGGGACTAAGCTCGCGACAGGGTCCAACGAACCTCAAAAGTACTTCGGTCGTTCTGACCACATAAGCCAGCTTGGACCGCTGCGGTCACGTAAAGGCATGAGCCAATTTAGAACTCCAGATGAGACAAAAATCTGAGTTGTTGTGGCATGAGCCAGCTACTGTCCGCTCCGGACACGTACATCTCCAGGCAGGGGCGACAACGACAAACACCCGTTCGACGGGTCCACGGGAGGCACTCTACGGGCTCATCCCGGGCTGGCACTGGGCCAGACACACTTATGGATATGCGTACTGACTGACAGCGGTGCCACACGCCGGCCTAGGGTATCATTTCCTAAGAGTACACGTACGAACCACTGGATCCTGGATCTTCAAACAGAGGTCGGTCCGACAGGTTGACGGCGTTCCGTGCGTGACTGCAGCTACATGAGGTACCATGTCTTTGAGGTTCTGGGCTTAGCCTCATGCCATTCGAAAAGCATCGCAGGTACGTCGGAGTGGCCAACTCCGATATCACCAGATCAAATGGGCGTCTTCGTTGGTAGCGGTCCCAAATGATCTGCCGCTACCCCCTGCTGAAAAAGAAAACATAACAATTCAACGGAATCCCTGTGATTACAAGGGGCACACACACACACACACACTGATCTCCAAGTCAATTGACCTGAGCATCTCAGGACAAAAAGCAACCATTTGTTTCGAAATGTTCCCCCAAACCGGTCCTCAACAAAAGCACACACACACTTAGATAAAGGCTTGGAAGAGCAGTATCAGTTGACGAAGTCCCTCTTTGCTGCAGGTGGACTCTTACACGCAATTAGACCTTGACTTGAATCGACTGCAGGAAGTGCTGGGTCGGCTCAACAAAAGGTTTAACAAAAGTGCACTAGCCCTGCAGGTACGTGGAAATGGCATGAAATGGCGTCCCATTTCCATATCCTCGGATACATGGCCAGCTTCGTTGACCAGGCGACAATGTATCCTGCCTGCCTGGTCCCCTGCTCTGTACTGTGCATGATTAAAATTCCTTGGAAACAGGAGTTGGCACACACACACAGTAAGCCGCCATTCGGCACACGCTCTTTTTGGTTTTGCGGTATGGGGGGATAAAAAAGTGCGTTGACTAAACGAGCCTGAAAGTCAACCTAACAAGCTTGAAGGAAAGAAGCAAACAAACGAAAAAGGGAAGAAAAGAAAGGAAAGGGTGCAGGGGGTGTGGGGGGTGGGCAGGGCGTGCCTTGATTAAACGAGCCTAAACGTCGACCTAACAAGCCTGAAGGAAAGCCCAAGCAAACGAAAAAGGCAAGGAACGAAAGGGTGCAAGGGGTGTGGGGTGGGGGGAAAGGGTTTGCAGGCCCGAAGGCTTTGACGAGAAGCCGTGACCGGCGCACACTTGACTAAAAGGCATCAGTTACACCTAAAAAACCTCCAGAAAACGAAAAACAACCTAGAAAGCGAAGAGCAACAGCAGGAAGGAAAGAACCAAGAAAAGATGACTTAGCAGCAGAGCCTACACCCTATGAAATACCTAGCCGCATGTCATGTCATTCTTTGGAAGAAGCTTCAGCGAGCCCTGCGGCATATGATCAGCAATCTCGAGCAGAACACTGAAGTTAAAGAAGTCCACGAGCAGGCCGAGAAACCAGTGGAGGTTCACCCGTAAGGGTATGTGCATATGCTGCACCCCTCGCTGGGGATCACGCCGCAGCCCACAGTGGGACTCTGTGGCGAAACGCGCTTAGTAGAAGGCTCGCAAGAGCAGTATCAGTTGACGACTTCCCACTTTACTGCAGGCAGACTTTTACACGCAATCAGACCTTGATTTGAATCAACTGCAGGAAGTGCTGGGTCGGCTCAACAGAAGGTTTAACAAAAGTGCACTAGTTAAGAATTTTGAAGTACGTGGAAATGGTGTCCCATTTCCATATCCGCGCTTTGTACATGATTAAAATTCCTTGGAAGCAAGAGTTGACACACACACACACACATCTTTTTGGCGGCTTTGTTGTCTCTTTGGATCCCGCCTGACCTCTCAGGGCCCTATCTGACCTCTCGGAGCTCGAGCGGTCCCATGTGCAGATCTGGCGCCACTTCTGGGCGAAGTCCTTCATCAACCTACCGGACTCCCAGACACGCGGCTTTTTGTTATGCTTTCTCCACGTGGGACGTCGTTTTCTTTATATTGTTTTTTTTTTGGGGGGTTGGGGGAGTAACAACAATGAGGGGAGCTAGCTAGCTGGAGCTGGAAAAATTAAAATAGCTATAGATGTGGACTAATCAGGACTCGGGCATGCAGTCCTTGTGTCCTGAGCCACCTCCATAGGAAAAGCGACTGTTTGCTAAGAAACACGCACCTTCAACCTGAGGATCACCACATTCTATTGGCACATGAGCCAATATCTTCTACGGATCTCCTCAACTGGCTACGCGAGCCCTGGCCTTTTTGGGCCTTTTGTGAATGACGACCAGGTCAGTGCAACTCGCTCCATCCGGGTTGACGGTGTAGGTTCAAAACAGGGAACCCTGTAAGATCCTTGGAACATCCTTTAGCAGAGAATTTGGGAACCTGATCAAGCCAAGAGAACAAAATAAATTGATATGATTACACTACCACTCTTCAACGAATTTCATTCCTCACCGTTGCTGACCCCGGACCCCGCCACTCCAACCCAACTGGTACGCTTGATCAGAACGAGCACGGCGGCCCACGTCTTTGGACCTCCCCCCCTCCCCCAAGAGACCTTTGATCGAGCTGAAGAAAAACCTGTCACAGGTGGGCTGGATGGGAGATCTCACCTTGAACTACAACGCGGAGGCCTCCTACTACGGCGCTGCATCTTCCAATCACCTGGAGCTCTTCGAGCCTTACCTCCAAACGATTCTGGACTACCTGCCTTCGGCCCGCCTCATGGCAGACAGCCAGTATCCCGGTCACCTGGACGGCACCTTTTGGGGGTGATTCGTCCTTTTTTCAGTCGCATCCAGCCGTGTCTTCCGCTTAAACTGACATTTGTGTCAGAAATCGTGGTCAGACCTGTCACGGAAAGAAAATCAGGTTCTGCTTGCGCTGGCGCCCTGTACTTTGCCGGGCACATTCTGCCCTTTGGGGTGACTAGCTCTAGCAATGGGGACATGGGTCAGAAGCAGATGGGCCTCTTTGCCAGCGTGCCCTTCATCCTCTATTGGCGCTACACCCGAGACCCCAACTTTGTGCAGAGGCCGGGTTGTGCTGCAGGGGATGAGGGGTGCCCGCATCCGGCCCACTAAGCATATCGGGGGCTCCACTTGGACCATGGAATTGGTCAAATGAGTGGTCAAACATGGTCAAATGCTTTTTTGACTTCGCCCTCCTACATAAAAAAAGACTTTTGGAGGGCGTGGGTTGAGCTTCGTCTGACCTGGTCCACCGTGAGTTTTCTTGTCCGATCGTCAGGGCCTTTCCATTCTTCGAGGGCTTGGCCCGTTTCTGGGAGTGTGTCCTCGTGGAGGACTGACTGGATCAGGTGCCCGAGGATGTGATGCCCGACTCTACGCCTATTCTGCGGTGTGTTGAGCTAGCTATAGTCGTTTTGTGTTCTATTCTGCTCCTGGCCTACAGTCCTCATCCAGCCTCATTCGTACATATTCGCACTAGATTTTGACGTTTGCAGGACTTTTTGCAGGGTGTCCTGTCGGGGGCCTCTTTCCAGAATCTGGTAATCTGGTAACATCATAGCAGCTTCACAGGGTGTAGACTTCTTGTCTCTTCGATGACGAGTCTTCTTCCATGAGTCATGGGGTGAATCCTACAGCGACTGCCGTGTTGCATTGCCAGCTTCAAATCCAACATTGAGTTCCCCAGGTCAGCGTCATCCTGCTTGCCAGGAGCAGGATGGGCTACTGCATGATGCCCAGGATTGTGCAGAGGAACTCTGTAGCCCAGATGGAGTGAACCAAAAGGATCCCACCGTGGTACTCTCGATGCTGCCCGCCTTCTTCCGCACGGCAGGCCCATGCGGCCAGGGGAGAAAACATGGACAGGACCTGGTGACCTGACCTGTCAGCATTTGTGCCTCACCCCTGGCTTCTCCGCACCACCCACCGCAGCCCCGCAAAAACCCGCAGGCGAGTTGGCTGCCCTCTTGGGTCATCCGGAGAGCCAACGGCGTTGGGCGGCCCATGCGAGGCGGATTGCGGCCTACCCCACGGCGCGGTGGCGCGGAAAGGACGTGCTTCGGAACTCCGCGGGCCAAGGTGAAGAGTCGGGACCGACGCTTGACGACGAAGTCTGGGCGCTTTCGGAGGGTGTCTGGGGGTGGGGAGAGGAGGGGGACCGCTTTCGCCTTTCTTTGTAAGAAGATTGAGGAGGTTGACATGTTCACAAACCACATCAAACCACAAGCTTTGCGCTGCCATTAGTTTCCGGAAAGCCAAACGCTTCTCGCAGAAAGTAGGAACGTTCATGCTCGACCTTTTGAGAAAAGTCGACTTTTCGACTTAATTTTGAGCATATCATTTCACTGTTCAGCATTTTGAGCATCAACATTTGGCCCTTTTTGAGGAGAGTTTGGCTCTGCAACTTTTCGAGGCAGCATTTACGTTTTGAATCAGAAGGTGATCGAAGCCAAATGGAATGTCCAAGATACCACGCATGTTCACGTGCTCGCGTGGGAGCGTCAGAAGACATTCAAAGTCCATATGAACCAACACGTTCGCGAGAAGTTTCACTTCTGGACTTTATCTCTCCGGCCCGGCCCGGAGCCTCCAAAATGGGTGTCGCAACCCGGTTAGCGCGGGACCGTGTGACACCGATCGGTTCAGGACAGGTGGGCAGTTCGCATCCTTCCCCTTGGGCACTTTGAGCCTCTCCAGCAGTGCTACCAGCCTGGAGGCGCATTTTGTGGCGTGTAGTGTGGCGTCCTGCGTGTTTTTGGGGGGCGAGATGTAGATGTAGAATCTTGATTCAAAGCAATCCAAACGGGAAGTCTTTAATCAAGATTCTACACTACTGTAGTTATGGGGGTTGGAAGGAGATGGTAAGTTACGGCTCTTGAAACATCACAGGCTCAGAGGTGTTAGCGTGACCTCCATGAGTGGCACAACTTTCGAGCACTGGATTGGCTGTGTGGATGCTTTGGACATGCTTGTGTTCATAAGAAACTGGCCATGCCATTGCCTTGCAATATTTGGATGAGCAATACCCAGTGGCGAACTGATGTGCCACCACTCGGCGTGTCATGTGCAAAAGAAACCAGACGCACGCCCGACATTCCTACGGGGGTTAAACGACGCCGGGGCAGCAACACGCGGTGATGGGCATGCCAGGTCGTGCGGCAGTCGCTGGAGCATTTCTTTGACATTTGGCCTGGAGGTGGCTTGGGACGTTGAAGATATTTGAAGCCCAAAGTTTTTCAGTGGCCAGGTGTTGCCCCGGATTGACGGGTGGAATGCTCAAAAGTGCCAACCATGAAGGCGGAGACGAAACTGGTTGTCCTAAGCCATCCAGCCATCCTAAGCCGAAACCGCGCGCAACTATAGGCATGTCTCTGTCAAGCACCGGCAGTCCCCATAGACGTTCCTCACCTCAATATATATATATATATATCAGAACAACTATCAAAACGGAAGGAGTGTCCTGCGGGGACAATTTCAATCGCAATCCCATCGGCCCAACAAGCAGCATGCACCAAGGGACTCCTGAAGGTAAGTAGACATCCAGAAGACGATGTTTTCTTCCAGAAGTCGTTGATCTGCTTGTTGTTGACTTTTTTCTTGCCGACACAGCTGCCCGACGGGTGGCGAGGTAAGCAAGGAAACAGCTTTTGCTCGATCTTTGCAGCTGCGAACCGTGTGGCATGGCGCCCTGCCCATCTTTTTCAGCTTTGGGAGTCGTACTTGAAGAACCAATCAGATCCGGACTGCATCATGTGACTTGTTCTTGCAGATGGGCTGTCGATGGCCTAGGCGACTGGGAAGGGAACTGCCCACTGGAAGACGAATCCACAAACTAAACTACAGGCACTCCTACATTGAACATTGAACCCTGAAACCACTCCAATGACTCCAACCCATGTAAGTATGTCATACATAGAGTGTTTGGGGATCATGTTCCGCCGTCCAGCTGTCATCGTTTCTGTCATCGTTTGGCCTCAAAATATTCACTCCACCATGTCACTGCCATGAATGCTCAAGGTTTGTATATAATTGTATATATATATAATATTGGTTTCAGAGGTTTGATGGCACTGGCACCCAAAGATGTCTTTTATATCGGGGGTCGATATAGAACCACCGAACTTGGAGATTTGGCCATCTACTCTGAAACCACTGTATTCGTGAAGCGTATTAGGTGAGTGTAGGCAGATCTTAGCGTAGGGTGTGGTGTGGGCGGGTAGCCCAAACAGAACCCAGATGTTAGCGAGGAATTTTTTTTTGCGGAGGCACACAAACCCATTTACATTCTACATGTGTATACTGTATAATGTACTTATACAAAAAAGTACTTACATATGCCATTGTTTTTTGTTTGACCGTCCCGTGCTTTATCCACTTGACATTGCACTGAGGTACCCCAATGGCATGGTCCTGGGCTGTGGCGGCACCGGGTTGGAGAACGTGGGCGCCACGGCCTATGTCAACGAGCTCCTTTTGCAGTCGCATGAGGGATTTCTGCGCATCTTCCCTGGATGGAATAGCACAGGGTCCTTTCATTTGAGAGCTGAGGGTGGCTTTGAGGTGATGGCGGAGAGACGCTTGAGCTGGGTTTGGTCTTATGCTACTCCATTCGGGGGGGAAGTACTTGAATGCCCACTCAAACGGCTAAAGCAACTCCCACTGCCACTTGGGAAGATTATACTCAGGATCGGTCGCCGGATCGAGGATGTCCAAGGATGTCCAAGGGGAGCCTCCTCCCTGTCCAAGGCACCTTTTGTAGCACTCATCGGGGATGGTTTAAAAAAAAAAAGTATATATAGGGTTACTGATCACTCCAGTACACCCCAAAACCTGCATAGCAGGAAATTGACCCACACTCCCTGTGCTGGGAGGCTGGCTTAGCCATGTTCGACAGCCACAGCCACCGGAAGCCCAGGAGATGCCGCCGAAGTTACATCTTTGAGCATCCACACTTTGCAGCGTTGCAGTTCCAGCTGCCGCCTACGAAGCCCCTGGAAGGTGTCCCATGTGCGGGTGAACGGGCACATGTGGCCGGTGACCGATGGTGAGCTGGAGTTTCCGGTGGCACCGCGCACCAGCTACGAGCTCCAGCCGGATCGAAGGTTCTGGGTCTAGTGACGATGCCGTGGCTGGCCATGGGTGGAGTCCTGTAGGGCAAAGCCGCCAGATGCTCCACCCAAAAAAAAGATAGCAGAATCTAGCAGCCGTATAGTGAGAACATGAGAAGGATGGTGAAGGGTTCAGGGTCGAAACAGCACTTGCCGGTCTTACTGAGCACTTTGAAACATGCTTGGCCAAGCACACGCGCGTGGAAAACGACAACGGACTATGCACGTCGACCACCTGAAGATCGGACTTTGCAGACTACAAGGGTCACTGGAACCGGGTCAATCGGACTTTCACGGCTGACCAAGCCTTTTCTCATGTCGCCGGAAGGGCAGCGACGCACGGCGAAAAGGGCCGCTGGACGGCGATCGTGGGGTGTAGACAGAGAGGCATCCTATCGCCTCGTCGTGGCTCGACGGTGACGCGTCACCAACCCAGGTGCGAGAGCATGTCTCCATGCGTGGCTACTCCAGGCGGGTGGAGAAGAAACGCTCGACTGCGTCCTCAACGGCTTGTGGGGGTGGCTCAGGGTCAGGAATCAGGCAGGGAAATAGAGAGACGGGGATCAAGTCAAGGTAGGGAAGGACCATGATTCCGTTTCGGGGGGACGTGGGGGACGGAAATGCGAGGCCGATGCATCCGGCCCGGCGCCTCAGTGCCAACGACCGTTGGCAGGCGGGGCTGAAGTATGGCCAAGTACGGCCGGCTTTCGGGTGCGTGTCCTTTCGGGGATGAACTGGGCAGAGCGAGGAGTTTTTTGAACTGGCAAAGAGCACCTCAACATAGACGTAGACTCTTGATTAAGAACAACCACCCCTCCATACAGTATGAAGAGGTTTTAGAATCCAAAGCGGGGGGCTTAAGATAATAGATTGTAGTCAAGAGTCTACATTGCCAGCCAAGCGAGCAACACTTGAAAGTGTCACATTTTGCACAGTTTGAGGACAGATCTTCAAAAGATGCATCAGAGGCAGGATTTGGGTGTGAACTGGACCGTCGTAAAATTATCAGTTTTTAGTTTTTGCGTTTAATCTCATTAACTTAACTTGTAGTATGACTCAAGACCTATGCCACGGTCAATGACATCCAGACAGCCGGGTGTGCATAGACATCGAAATATGAAGATCATTATCCTGCTATGCTAGGGCTTGTTGGCATCGAGGATGCAGTAACGTCAGTAATGCCAGGTTGATTGAAGACGATGACTGCATCGCATGGCTTGCGACATACACTTGGAAGTCAAGGATCCCAGGAAACCATTACAATATTAAGCAGGTCCGACTTGGATGCTGGCAAGCTTTCCAAGCAGTCATTTTTTTTTGAAAGACCGGCAGATACCACCTCACAGGCGTTCGCATGGTGCATGCTTCGCGGTAGCGAGGACGAACACGCATCTGTCATAATAAGTCTGTCATGGTGATTCTCCGGGTTTTCTGAATCGACCCTGTCGACTGCTTCGCATGGTTTTCTTCGTGGAGCTCTTTGCGAGCTCAGGTTTTGGTTCAGCCAAGCTCTTGGTTCGGCCCATTCTTCGCAGGCAGCCTTCCATCTGAGCCCTCTGCCGGACCACACCATTGCCACCTGGCCGCTGAAGGAAGTTCCTGGCGTCGGGTCGCGCTGGTCGTATCGATGGTGTGTCCGGTCGAAGAGGATCTACACTCCCCGGACGAACCGAAGCGGAAAAGCGCCAGTTTGTAGAGGAAAATGGTGGCCACTTTCCACTTGCATGATGATTCAGAGTGTATCTGCCAAAGACTTGCACTACTTCAGCTTGGTGGAAGAAGTGCAGTTTGTGCTGTGGTGCTGAAGATGCGGATGGCCAGATGGCCTATGATGGTGCACCCCGTGAGCCTTGTCCAACCAGCTTTGTGTTTGCCAAGATGTGGTGGGTAAAGTAGCTTTGCAATGGAAGTAGCCAACATGTAAGTAGGGGTCTTCTTTTAAAGACCATTGGAACACAGAAAGGGGGCAGAGTAACTACAAGACAGAGATAACAACAACCACCGCTGACGTGGCTCATCTAGATCAACGGACGAACCCGATGATCGTGCAATTCTCCTTTGTTTCATGAACCTTTGCATCTGCGGCCATGAGGGCCCTTGAGCGTTGGATGAAAGACGGTGCGGATCCCGTCTCTAGGATTTGTGTGGGTTTAGGGGTCTTTGTGAACCAGGCTCCGAGGACCAAACTCGTTAGGTGTGAACCCCTACACTCGCATTGGTAGCGTGCCCTTAGATCCCCTCGTGATCGCGCGCCTCGATGGCGACTGGTGGCGATGGGGCGACCACTTCGGAGGAGCTCGAGGATGCCGATGCGGAGGGCGAGGAAGAAGCCTACGTCCAGGACATCGACGAGTTCCTTGCCGAGCCGGAAGAAGGAGAAGAAGAACTTGAACCAGCCCCAGATGCAGAGACTTCGTTGGAGCCTCGGAAGTCTTCTTCACGAAGCGGCCGCAATGGACCACGGACCGGCTCCTCCGCCGGATCGGACGCTTCAGGGACTTCACCGAGGAGACCACCGAGGAGCAGGACAAGTGACGAAGGCCGCGACAGCAGAGACAGTCGCGACAAGTCGAGTTCATCTCAAAAGAAGCCCAGAGGTAACCTGCCTCCAGCCCCAAAGTTCGATGGTGATCGCAAAGCTGATCCTCGATGCTTCCGCAAGTACCTCAACAAGGTCGATAGCTATGTGGCCCTGGCCGAGAAGATCATCGACCACAATGAGATTGGCTTGAGGTTGCACGCGGCGCTGGAAGGCGAGGCCGCGGACTACTTGGAGGATGTCCCAGCTCGCACCTTCGGCGAGATAGATGGCTGGCGGGTGCTGTTGCGCATTCTGCGTGACAAGTACGATGAACCACCAATGCACAAGGTGGGAACGGCCATGAAGAACTTCTTCAACCTCCAGATGGCGCAGGACAAGACCATCACCATGCGTGAGGTGGCCGAGCATCTTGATCGTGCAGCCCGTCAATGCAGAGACGCGGGATTGGACTTGCCGGACGCTGTGATGATCCACGTGTTCTTCCAGCACACCGGAGCAAGCAATGAGCGACAGGCCAATTTCCTGTTGCGGACTGGCGGACAGTACGACTGGGCCAAGATCAAGGCAGCCATCGACATCCTGTACCCCAACACTACGGTCCGGGTACCTGCCTCTGGAGCGAAGGCATCAGGCTATCGAGGAAGAGCTGCACACGAGGTACACTGGTCTTCTTCAGACTGGCAACTTCCTGATCTCCAAGATCCGTCCATTGTTTGGGACTCCTGGCTCTACGAGAACGACCCCGTCGAGATGATCGCAGAGCAGACCCTCTACGAGGCCGTGGACGAGAACCTCATCCCTCAGAACTTAGCCCGCGACTTGACTGCGTGCTTCAACACACACCGTGAGAACCGCAGGCAGCTGGCCCGCGCTGTGCAGGCCAGAGGCTACTACGTTCGTGGTGGCAAGGGCAAATCTGGTGGCCGAGGCAAAGGAGATCGAGGCAAAGGTCGTGGCGGCAAGAAGGGCAAAGGCGGTAAGTCCGCTGGCGGCAAGACTCGCGGCGGCCTGACCCTTCAAGAGCTCAAAGCCAAGACCGCTTGCGCTGAATGTGGCGCCATTGGGCATTGGAAAGAAGAGTGCCCTAAGCGTCAGAGCAACCTGACACACCACACTGAGTATCGTGAGCCGGACCCCTACTATGAGCCTGACTTCGAAGAGTACGACTACGACGCCGATGAGCAGGCCTATGAGGAGTGGGACCCGGAGACTTGGGACCAATGGCAAGAAGAAGCGCCACGGTCTTCTCATGCAGCTGGACGTCAAACTGATGCTGCAGCAGCCGTGGAGGAGGAGAACCTGCGAGCCATCCATGCCTTGCGAAAGAAGGTCAGTCAAGCGGCTCCCCTTGCCGGTCCTTCCAAGTCGACCTCAGCGACGACTTCAAAGACAGCACCTCCGGCAAAGGTACCACCTGTCATGCCAAAGACACCGCCTGTCATGCCCAAGCAGGTGAAGCAGGTGCGCAATGTCTACGTCGAGCAGTCCAAGCACGACATCGTCGAGGAGCAGGGCTTCAACAAGCACTCACTCTACTCCGACGAGTTTGTCGACCAGCACGGAACCATGGCACGTGTCAAGGCCATCCTGACCGCCAAGCCGCCGGGGACGACTTTCTCTGGCAGTGAAGCTCGAGCAGCAGTCCGGACGCATGCAACGAGCTCAGCACACGTGGCCACCAGGACAGATGAGACTGGCCTCACTGGGTCCGTTTGGGATCTTTTGAAGGACCATTCCAAGGCACCCGACCTCGACTCCCTGCGGAAGACACGTGACGTTCTTGCCGCACGACGGGTCAAGTTCGAGAGCCCTACATCACCGCGGAGCGCTTTGTCCTTGACAAGGAGGCCACCCACCGTGCAGACAGACAAGGTCTACTTGACCATTGACACGGCTTGCGAGAACACCGTCGTTGGTTCCGTTTACCTGGAGAAGGTCTTGAACAAGCTGGGTGAGCATGGTTTGATGCCCATCACCCACGAGGAGAATGAGCAGTACTGCTTCGGTCCTGGAGCACCAAAGACGAGCACGACACGTCTCTCCGTGCCCATTGGGATCGATGGCAAGCCTCTGGTCATCAGGACCTCCGTGATCCAGGAGGACAAGCAAGCTGCAAACCGAGTGCCCTTCCTGGCTGGCCAAGACTGGTTGGTTTTGATGGGCGCCGTCGTCGACATTGGCAACAACAAGATGTCTTTGCCGGCAGCTGGATGTGAAGTCCCGCTGCTAGTGGATGTGTCGGGCCACCTCGTGATTTCCATCGAGGACTACCCCTGTACAGGCTGGCCCCAAGGACTCTGGACAAAGGTCGATGAGTACCCGGGCGCCATTTTCGCAGTGTCGCACGAGCTGCAAAAGAGCGCCTCGCAGTCTGAAGACTCCTTCAACCTAGTCACTGACCACAACTTCATCTATGAGCCCAATGAAGACGACATGAACACGGGACTCTCTAGGGGACCTTGCAC